CCCTTATAAAGAGGTCTCACTCTTCTTACTGCAGCAGTATGGTACTAAACTTCCCACACTTTCCACCACTTGCTGTACACATGCATAGACCTTAGAGATTAACTAGGGATTATTGTCTTATATGGGCCTAAGCCCATCCATAATCCATCACATTTTTTAAAATAGAAGCAATACGAGTCTCTGAAAAGGAAAGAAATGATTTCGCGAACGCAGTACCTGGTGTGAAGTCCAAATTACGCGCAGCCGATTATTAATAGCAGCACTAATCGTGTCTGAATGAATTTATCAAGAAGCAATCAAGAAGCGTACCCGCATGCATAATGTATTCACTTTGTGATTATGACGAGGTCGTCCAAAACCTCACGCCGGTGCCGGTAATCCAAGTACGAGGGCAATGCCGTTTTAGGATTGCTTTTAATCTAAGAATTGTGTTATTAGTTGGATTAGTGTTGCCAGATCGTGCAAACCACGTGTGGTTTCCCTACCTCTCGAACCAGATCAACTGAGAGTCGCCAACCGGAATGAGGATTTGCGTCCGTGAGCTGAGGAAGAGCAAATCAAGGCGAGACGTGGTAATTGAGCAAGCAGAGGAAAAGTGGGTTTCCTTCCTGTTCATGCCGTGGCTGCTTTAAGCAGTGCAAAATTGGACGAAATTAAGGGGAATGCTAAACACACATGGCCAGGTCCTGGATTTTATTTTTATTTTTTTGAGATGGAGGTCTGGATCTTTTTGTAAGACTCTTTTCCATCGAACGAAGAAACAGTTTTCTCATCACAAGAGATTTGTTACATGAAAACAATTCAGAAATAATATCTTTGTCGTATAATTGATTAACAGCGTGAATTTTGTGTTTCAACCGTAATCCAATCCTGTGCTAGCATCCTACTAGATCTTTCAGCTTTCGCCTCATGAACTCGAATATCAATGTTAAATTCTGGTCCTCATGCCAGGCAATCTCGTCCTTCAATTTATGATTGGACGGCTAGGATAGTCATGCTATTAGATAATTCAGTTCTGAGGACATAACGGATGCAGGCAGAAAAAAGAATATATAACGTTAGGTTCTTTAGGATTCAGTTTGGTTTGAGTTTGCTTCCTTGTCATTCAGCTGAATAAAGGTAATCAGTTTTTCTTTTTTGGAGGAATATAACAAGAAAAATTGTGAAACGCCTTCCTTTTTCTTCAAGCTCTATCTCCTCCTCACGGCTCCCTTTGAGCACGATTGCAACCTCAGATCCAACCCTAGACTGCCTCGGTGGCCAGCAAGTGACATACATACTCAACCAAACAACGGTAAGCCAACAAGCACTAGATTCTCTGTAGTTTTATTCTGAATCCAACAACGTAAGCAACATACAAGTGGTTTGTTTTGACAGAAAAAGAAAAGTGCTTAAAGGGTGACACATTATACACACTAGAGTAAGTGAACTTGCAGACATTTTGCGTGTAACTTCCCAGATCACAAGATTACGATCGTCGAATTGGCCTGAACAACTTTGTCCTCAACTAGATACATGCATGATGCGTGTTCAAGTCGCTACCGCGATGAACTTGAGGTTGGAGGCCAGGGTCCAAGAGATGGCAACCGCAGAACAGAGGCCTCACCTGGTATGCCTCTACTACTCGATATAACTTTGAACCACTGACTCTCAGGGTCGCAACTTGGATCTTCAGTCAGGCACTTGCATTGATCTGTGGTGATGACGCCGTCAGGACCGGCTTCCAAGCACACTCTGGTCCCATTCTTAGTGATTTCGGACGAAACATGCATTCCTGAATCAGATATTAGCTGCCACTTTGAACAGGATTTGCTGCAGCCAGTCCCAAGCTTTGCAGTATCACCCACAGACTTGGCTTCAAGGCATTGCCCGGTGTGCTTCAGCACAAGCTCATGCGCGGAGGTGTAGTTCCAAGCGTTCGATTCATGGCATGGACCCAGCTTAAGAACATTCGTAGATTCCACCAACACGCAGAGCCCGGTTAGAGGATGAAATATTACGTTGTATGGTTTGTGACTGCTCGGTAGACCAGGACCTGCAGTATATATGCATATCCATTATGATCTGACTTAAAATAAATTCTCCCACTATCAAAGTGTTGGCAATATACTTTGCGTAAATTTAGTCTTTCTTGACTATTTGGCTACTACATATATCATCATCGAAGTGCATCAATAGCAGTTACAATTTACAATCATTTTTGAAAGCCAATAAATGCATACTGGTAAATTATCCTAAATGAATAACCATGAAAGGCTTATGTGTTGGTTCAGCAAACAAACGGTTTGACAAATATGTGCAACAGACAGCACAAATTTTTTGTCTGACGACGTCGCTAGGTATACAGAGATAGGTAAAGTTCAAACCTTGAAATGGAGATTGCAGAGAATTGATCCTTTCAATTAAGCTGGGGTTTCTAGCTGTATACCAATCCCATGTTAGCAAACCATATGTTTCATCGTAAGCTAGAATACCCTCCCTGATATAGTAACTCCCTTCTAGAGCCCAAACAGCCCAATCCAGATCCATTTCAGCTGCTACACTCAAGAAGCACGTAAGATAACGATTGTCAGCAATATGCGTGCCAGACATGTCAAACCCAATCTCAGAGAAAAATAACGGCCATCCTTGTTGAAGAAGAAAGAGTCCTTTAGTCCTTATGGACTCGACGGCCACTCCACAAGCATCATTTTGGTTCCAATTTTCCCAATCGGTTCCATCTGAGAAACCATACCAATGCTGTTCGAAGACTAACTTTCCAGTAAATGACAGCTTAACTTGCTTTGGGGACAAGAAGGAGAGACTGTTATCAAAATCCAGGCCCGACAAAATAACAAGGACATTAGGGTTTGCTGCATGCACAGCTTCAGCACCCTGTTGCATATACCTAAAGAATGTAATACAAGTTCTCAATATCATCAGTTATATAGAAAAGCCTTCTCAATAGCATGACTCATGAGGGCCTTTGCTCAGTAACGTACCTGTACCACAAACTAACATTTTGGTAGGGGCCACGAAGCTCATTACGCAAACTCATGCCGACAACATTCTCTGTGTCCCTAAACATTGTTGCCATTGCACTGAGGCCCTTCAACCATTCTTCAGGGTCAAAGTATTTGTCTCCAAAGAAGCCATTACCATCAGTTCTGCTACAGCACCATCCTGGAGTGGTCATTTGGTTATCAAGTATGACCATAATACTGTTGCTGGACAAAGCTGACACCACTTCCTATTAAGTTTGACCCATATCAGAAGGATGATCATAATCATAATTGATTTACCCCTTGATAGACAAAAATAAAAATATTGTTTTCACTTCATGTTTAGCCTGGTACTAGTGTGCCACAAGAAAAACATACAGGTTGGGTAACTAGATCATTTGTTCTATATTACCATGTCAGCTAACTAGATACCTCCCCGATAGACCCTCACGCCCAACTAGATAGCTGGTATGGAAAAAGAACCAGCTCACCTAATCCATTCGTTTGAAGTGACATGTATCCCCATCATCCAAACAAATCCTACAAGCAATATTTGTGCTCACTAGAGCATTGTGACTTGCAAGGCACCCTCATATTGGACCATCAATTTGGTGACTAGTAGGTATACCTCTGTTCAACCTAAACAGTGGCGAATAAAATGGAAGACAATATTTTAAACAAGAGCGATGACATTTCCTGAAATAGCAAAAATGATCACTTATTTCTATATTGGCATTTATCCCTCATCTTGCATCAGATGGTGTCCTTAATAAAGAGAAAAGAAGGATACCCTGATGTTCTTTGGCGAGCCTTGTGAGTTCTGATGAATTATTTGCCTTCAGAATTCCTCTAATATGCAATGTTTGGACTTCTGAAGCAAGTTTTAGTTATTCAAAATAGTGCTAATTTCAGCTGCTTTAGCTACAGACAAATTGATTCATGACATACACTTTTTTCGATAATATAATTTCTCTTGTTTATCCCCCCGGAACAGTTATTTACTTTATGTCTATAATTGACATACTGTGTTGTGAAGTTCAGTTCACTGCTAACCTGGCACTCTAGCAGCAACAAATATATTCCGAATTTTCATTTTTGTTTCTTTAAAGAACCTGTAGGTTGCATTAAAGACATGTTCAATTTTGGCATAACTTAACCTTCCAATTCGCAACACTAGCAACACTTGCCAATTCTTTGGTGGTAGTAAGATATATGTAAGCATCCATTTCAGAATATTATGCTTTGACCATTGCTTCTTGCACTTTGAATACTAGCTAAATGAACAAGGTTTGATTAATACCGACATCAAGTCGAAACTAGAACAACGCAGGAATCCGAATAAACAAATGCAATCTTGGCTTCTCAGGGGATAAATAACCTCGGTTATTTAAAGCGGTGATAGCAACCACCTACCCGGAACACGTCGATGAGGGGCAGGTCCAGGAGGTCTGGGTTGTTGACACGTACGCCGGCGGCGGACTCCCGCAGGCCGAGGCGCTCCAGCGACCACCGCAGCGGCAGCGACGAGAGCGTGGCGTTGGTGGCGAGGTAGGTCGGCCAGGTGAGCCTCACGCAGTTGAACCCCATCGCCGCGACGCGCGCCGCGATGTCCCCCACGCCGCGCCGGGACAGGCCCTCCGCGGCCACGGGCTCCAGGTGCGCCGCCCAGTTCGCGCAGACCAGCTTCACGCGCCGCCCATCCGCATCCACCACCCACCGCGACGTCGTCGAGAGCGGCAGCGCCGGGAGCGAGACCGAGGCGGCGCGCGCGGACGCTAGGAGGACGAGGAGGAGGCCGAGGAGCAGCTGAGTTGGAGAGGAAGAAGCCATGGTAATTACTGGGACTGGGACTGGAAGAGCAGAGAGGCGGATCTGGAGTTTAAATGGGTATGACATGTGGGACCACTATGTGTGGGGACCACGCGTCAGTCGCACGGATTGGTTGCTGCTTGGATAAGTAAGAAAGGCAAGCAGCGATTGGCTTGGTGCGCTTAAGCGGTTAAGCTCAAGCGAGCTCGAATGGCCACCGCCGCCGTCGTCTCGGCGGCGGCTCTCCCCGCCGCGCCGTCGCCGTCGCCGGTGCGTTATACACCCCGCCGAGCGGCGCTTCGCGACGTGCCTCAGCTCCACGCGGCTCTGCTCAAGTCCGGTGAGCTCACCACTTCGCCAGAGTCCTTCCACTCCTTCCTCGAGGCTACCGCGCTGCCGTCGCCGGCCACCACCGCGGCCCACCTCTCCTACGCGATCCGCCTGCTCCGCCTAGGCCCCCACCCGCCCCTCTCCGCGCGGTCGTACAACATCCTTATCCGTGCCCTCTTCCGCGCGGGCCACCCGGAGGATGCCCTCCACCTGTTCGTCGAAATGCTCGATGCTGCCATTGCTGCCAACGTCTGCCCCGACCAGCACACCATTGCTAACACCGTAAAGTCCTGCGCCAGGATGTATGCCTTGGCTACAGGGCGCAGTGTTCAGGCGTACGCTGTCAAGCTTGGGTTCATGGCCGATCAGTTTGTGCTGAACAGCTTGATACATATGTACGCGAGCTGTGGGGATGTCGCAGCGGCACAGGTGCTGTTCAACACAGTGGAGGAAAAGGGTGTGGTTACATGGAATGCGATGATAGCGGGGTACGTTAAGAATGGAGACTGGAAGGAGGTAGTGGAGATGTTTAAGGGTATGCTTGAGGTTCAGGCACCATTTGATGAAGTCACATTGGTGAGTGTTGCCACAGCATGCGGAAAAATAGGTGATTCTAAGCTCGGCGAGCGGATTGGAGTTTATGCAGAGGAGAAGGGAATGGTGAGGAACAGAAACTTGGCAACTGCGCTGGTTGACATGTATGCCAAGTGTGGAGAACTTGATAAGGCGCGCAGATTGTTTGACAGGATGCACTCCCGGGATGTGGTTGCTTGGAGCGCGATGATCTCTGGCTACACTCAAGCCGACCGTTGTCGAGAGGCACTTACTATTTTCAATGAGATGCAGGCTACCGAGGTGAACCCGAATGACGTAACCATGGTCAGTGTGCTCTCTGCCTGTGCTGTCCTGGGTGCACTTGAGATGGGCAAGTGGGTGCATTCATACATAAGGAGAAAGGCCTTGCCCCTTACAGTTGTTCTCGGCACTGCGCTGGTGGACTTCTATGCAAAGTGTGGATGCATTGAAGATGCAGTCAAGGCATTTGAGTCGATGCCTGTGAGGAATTCTTGGACGTGGACAGCCTTGATAAAGGGCATGGCAAGCAACGGAAGAGGCAGAGAAGCGCTGGAGCTCTTCTCTTCCATGCGGGAGGCCAATATTGAGCCTACAGATGTCACATTCATTGGTGTTCTCCTAGCTTGCAGCCACAACTGCTTAGTTGAGGAGGGTCGCCGGCATTTTGATAGTATGACCCAGGATTATGGCATCCATCCAAGGATTGAGCACTATGGCTGTATGGTTGATCTGTTGGGACGGGCAGGTTTGATTGATGAGGCGCACCAGTTTATCAGGAATATGCCAATTGAGCCAAATGCAGTTGTCTGGAGGGCACTGCTGTCTGCTTGCACGGTTCACAAAAATGTTGAAATCGGAGAAGAAGCCCTGAAGCAGATCATCCCACTAGATCCCTGTCACAGTGGTAACTACATACTTCTATCAAACACCTATGCATCAGTGGGACAATGGAAAGAGGCAGCTATGATTCGGAAGGAAATGAACGAGAGAGGGATCAAGAAAATTCCTGGGTGCAGTCTCATTGAGCTGGATGGGACGATCTTCGAGTTCTTTGCTGAAGACAGCGAACACCCCCAGTCGAGGGAGATATATGAGAAAGTGGATGAGATGATTGAAAACATCAAGATGGCGGGGTACGTCCCAAATACAGCTGACGCAAGGCTAGATGTTGATGAATCTGAGAAGCAAGTGTCCGTTTCGCATCACAGCGAGAAGCTGGCCATTGCGTTTGGCCTGATGAAGTCGCGCCCTGGCGCAACGATCCGGCTGTCGAAGAACCTGAGAGTGTGCGTGGACTGCCACTCCGCCACGAAGTTGATCTCCAAGGTGTACAACAGGGAGATTGTTGTTCGAGACAGGAACAGGTTTCACCATTTCAAGGATGGATTGTGCTCCTGCAATGATTACTGGTGAGTACAGATTCTCTGTTCGTCAAGGTTTTTCTCTTAGATAAGTATATGTACACCGGGCACACCTGAGCCAGAGAGGCTGTAAAGCACTCTGTAAGTACGACAATGCCGTTCACTCTCAAACAGGAGCTCAAGTTATTAGGTATTAAGATCAATAGCAAATTCTCTGCAGAGTTTGAGGCTTGGTTAGCTCAGACATTCTAATAACCTGATGATTCAGTTCCCCAAAACCGGAGTTGGTTAATCTGTTTTCCCTTTTCTGGATAGGATCTTTGTAGTTTTCTTCTTTTTCTCCTTACCTCATGTAACATACTACTATTAATGAAAATTTACCGTAGAACTATTGTCCTACGGTGTGCGCTTCAAAAAACGGTTAAAAAAGATTCCTAGCCTGCCAGAACAGAAGTTGGTTCTGCAGCTTCAAGAGCGAGAACTGTGAGTGTGTACAGACTGCACATTGCTGTGCATTGCATGAATGCCAAAACGAGGAATAAACCTGTTGCATTTTACTACTACTTAACTTGTAAAGAAACTGTGCTGCGCTTCTATAAAATTTTCAAATGCAGAGCAGCACAGTTTCCTCTCATTGTCTTGGCCACAACGACGGGCATTTGCTGGGTCGACTTTGATGGCCCAACCTATGGTTGCTTCTGGTGAGTTTGTGTTGTTGTCAACAAAGCTGACGCGTGGATGCGCACATGTCTAATTTCTTTTGTTTAGCCTCATTACAATTTTTTATGTAATCCCGGCTGCTGATATAGCCACTTATCTGTACACATCGGGTTAGTGAGAAATCTCCATATCCGACAGAAGCAGTACCTTTCAAGTGTCATCCGGCCGGCAAGTACACCAAGTTGTCAAATCAGAATGCTACACCTACATAAAGATTCCTACGTAATTCACCTAACTGGTTTGGTGGCACGTTTTGGTTAGAGGAAATAAGGCAAAATTGCTACACCTACGAAAGAGTTCTACGTATCCTACGTAAACTTGCTTGGCCTAAACCAAACGTCTCCCCCCCCCCCTCCCCCTCTGATTTTCAGGGTGGGCCCTGCCCCCTCACTAACACCCCATTAAAAACTGACAAGTCATATACTTTCTCCGTCCGAAAATACTTGTCATCAAAATGGATAAAAAAGAATGTATCTAGAAAACTGCCAAGTCACATAACAACCAGCATGTAGGTCTAGCATTACTCGAAATAAGGGGAGGGGCCCTACCCCGGTTGAAATCAGGGGGCCGAAGAGATTAGATAAGGCAAGTTATGTAACATTACTAGGTCTACGTAGATGTAGCATTTTTTATTAGGACGCCGATAACGCCCACACGTGTGGGCGTTAAGGGATCTGGCCACATGTTTTGTGTGGTATCTAAAAGAACCAGCCCACACGCCTACGTGTGGGTAAAACAACTAGCGCTCACACGTTTTTTTTTCCTCGCGGTCCCTCTCACACGCCTACTTGTGGGCAAAATGGATAACATCCACACGACCTCTCTCAGCCACCTATCTCACTGGTCTCGCACGCCCCGACAGTCACCACGCGTCCTCACAAGTTGCCATGGTCTGGACCCTCTTCAATGTCCGTTTAACTGCAGTTGCCATGTCGGACAACTACGGTTGCCATGGTTGCTCAACTGCAGTTGCCATCTCATGTCAAGTGTCAGACGCCATTTTGGACAACTGCAGCTGTTGCCATGTATGGTCTGGTTTACTATAGTTGCCATGGTTTGAAAACTTTAGGGGTTGCCTCCTACTAACACTAGGCAGTTGTCATGTATGGTCTGATTTACTACAGTTGCCATGATTTGAAAACCTTATGCGTTGCCACCTACTAACACTAGGCAGTTGTTGTGTAGCGCTACAAAGAGACATGGCAAAATAACATGTTTCGGGTAAAAAGAGAGTTGACATCTGCTTACAAGCACATTAGGGCAGTTGCCGTGTACCCTGCAAAACACATGGCAACTGACATGTTCGGGTAAAAAAATAGAGTTGCCATCTGCTTACAAGCACACTAGCGTAGTTGCCATGTATACTGCAAAACACATGGCAACTGACAGCTTTGGGTGTGGGAGAGAAGACGGACGTGTGGGCGAGATGGCAATGCCCGCACACCAGCCCTTGTGCGTGAGTGAAAAAAGACGTGTGAACGAACTACTAAACGCCCACACACCGGCCCTCCCGTGTGTTGAAACTGACGTGTGGACGACCGGATGAATGCCCACACACCAGCTCAATCTTACGTGATACCACAAACATGTTAAGATTCGTGCAACCACAAACGGACGTGGATCCACGCGTGTAGGCAAGATGCAACCGCTCACTTGTATGGGCGTTAGTATTTCCGTTTGATTATCCGTATGTATGGAGTAAGCAGCCGCTTTAGACAGCGGCGGCCTCAATCCGCACCACCACGACTCTGCGACAACAGTTTGCCATGGCGTCGCTCCAAGCTCCCGAGCTCTTGGCATGCCTCGTCGTCGTCGTCGCCACCCTCCTCCTCCTCCTCAAGCAACTGCTCGCGCCAAGCAAGAGACACTCCGCCTCACCCTCCATCCCGCGCCCGAGGGGCCTGCCCCTCATCGGCAACCTCCACCAGCTCGGCGCACTCCCGCACGACTCCCTCGCCGCGCTCGCCGCCAAGCACGACGCGCCTCTCATGCTGCTCCGCCTCGGCTCCGTGCCGACGCTCGTCGTCTCCTCCGCCGACGCGGCGCGCGCCGCGTTCCAGCACAACGACCGCGCCATGTCCGGCCGCCCGGCGCTCTACGCGGCCGCCAGGTTCTCCTACGGCCTGCAGAACATCTCCTTCGCGCCGCCGGAAGGCGCCTTCTGGCGCGCCGCGCGCCGCGCTTGCCTGTCCGAGCTCCTCGGCGCCCCGCGTGTGCGCGGGTTCCGCGAGGCCAGGGAGGGCGAGGCCGCCGCGCTCGTCGCCGCCGTGGCCGACGCGTCCGGAGCCGGCGCTGCTGTGGACCTCAGCGAGCTTCTCCTCGCCGCAAGCAACAAGATTGTGCGACGTGTCGCCTTCGGCGGCGACGACGGCGGCGAAGGTGGCGCGGAGGCGAGTGCTGTCCTCAAGGAGACGCAGAGGCTTCTTGGTGCTTTCTGGGTCGCCGACTACGTGCCGTGGCTCAGGTGGCTGGACGCGCCGCGTGGCCTGCGGGGGCGTCTGGAGCGGAACTTCCACCAGCTCGATGCGTTCTACGAGAGCGTGATCGACAGTCACCTCAAAAGGCGAGCATCCTCCTCCGCCGACGAGGAGGAGGACTTGGTCGACGTGCTCCTCCGCCTGCATGCCGACCCGGCTCACCGGAGCACGTTCAGCAGTCGCGACCAGATCAAAGGCATCCTCACGGTACGTACTCGTGCACCTCAATAAGAACAAATGCACACGCACACAAGCATTTCGTTGAAAAGTTTGGCTTTTACGTAACTTTGAAGGACATGTTCATTGCCGGGACCGATACGTCGGCGGCGACGGTGGAATGGACGATGACGGAGCTGGTCAACCACCCGGACATCCTCGCCAAGGCGCACCACGAGGTGCGCAGCGTGGTCGGCGACAACGGCATGGTCCGGGAACCCGATCTCCCGGGGCTCAGCTACCTGAAGCTGGTCATCAAGGAGTCCATGAGGCTGCACCCGCCGGTGCCGCTCCTGGTGCCCCGGGAGACCACCGAGGCATGCACGGTCCACGGCTGCGAGATACCGGCCGGGACGCGGGTGCTCGTCAACGCGAAGGCCATCGGCGCGCACGCCGGCGCGTGGGGCGCCGACGCGGCGCAGTTCGTCCCCGAGCGGCATGAGCACGGCGAGGACCTCGGCGACTTCAAGCCGTGGCACGACAGCTTCGCGCTGGTGCCGTTCGGGATCGGGCGGAGGAGCTGCCCCGGCGTGCACTTCGCGACGGCCGTGGTGGAGCTGGTGCTGGCCAACCTGCTCTTCTCCTTTGACTGGAGCCCGCCGCTCGGCAAGGTGGACGCTGAGGAGGAGAACGGGTTGACCGTGTACAGGAAGAACCCTCTCGTACTGTTCGCGAAACCACGGAGATGCGCGTAGTACGATGTTGTGATCTATGTACAGCAAATAAGTGACATTTAGTCCATTTATTCATTATTATCTTGAATCAGTCAACATATCAGTTTTGCTTCTTTCGAAATAGTTATTTCTAAGTCAACTAACATATCCATCTGACCTAAACATGAAAGTACTCCCTCCATCCCATAATATAAAGAACGTTTTTGATATTAGTGTAGTGTTAAAAACGTTCTTATATTTTGAAACAGAGGGAGTACAAAAAAAAACGATAACATATTGATCGGACATCTACCAATGTCGACAGAGATATTTATAAGATGATTGAGCTGTATACAATTGCATTTGATAGTAACTTTGCGAGATTGAGCATTAGCGGCTATGTTGTCTCTATGCAAGCGTCCAAACATATGTAAGAGCAACTCTAGCACGTCTTAGGGCCCTGATTGGCGTAATAAACCAATGATTTTAGCCGAAAAGGTCGTCCTAGCAGGGTTGCCGACGTTGGAAGCGTCTATGACCGACAATGTTGACCTTGATGTCGTCGGCGTGTTGATGATGAAGAGAAGTATAAGTTGAAAATTGGAAAATAAATATGTAATCAATGACATGGGTCCAATATGTAATGAAATTATGAAGGTTGAGATATGGCGAATCGGAGCACGTTGCATGTCTAGCCTCGAAAAGCATATGGAATGCACTTCATATTAGGATCAATATATCGACAAGAGGGAGGGGGTGAATGGGAGAATCTATGGAATTCTTCGAAAACATAAAATACTTTAGGAAATGGAAATAGAAGAATAAGGGAGTATGAAACAGTAATACAAAGACTAATTAAAACAGGAAAATCAATACAGATAACTTAGCATGCGGCTCAAAACTCCTGTGGAAGGGGCATAAGAGTGCGGGCAAGTAAAATGGCTAATTGATAGAACAGATGCTCAAGTCTAAGAAACAAGCAAATGCACTTGAGAATTGGTAGACAGAGTACAAAGCTAAGCATCGAGATATGCAGCGGAATAGATAGACGCTTGCAAAGTCTTGACAACAATCACGGAGAAAGATATAAGGGGGAAAGCTTTGAAGCACGGAGAAATTACTAAAAGTAAAGCAGTGCGAAGAAATAGAACTCGTTTCCTCACAGAAGACAATATAATGTGTTCACCCAGTTCAAGTTGGTGGCACAACTCTATGTCTGGTTGGAGACGCAGAGCCACAACTCTAAGTACACGAAAGTTCTCGCCTTCTTCTCCCTGAGCTAAGTTCTTCGGAACCCTCCCAATAACTCATGGTGGATCTTGATGTGATCTTCGGACTTTCATAGACTTGTTCTTCGATAGTCTGGATGCTCTTGAACTTGACTCACAGCCGTCTAGATGATGCTCATTCCCCAAGAGTGAAATGTCTTAGCTCAGCTTTGATTCTCTAGTGATGCTCAATCACTTAATAGTTTTAGGTTATTGGGGGGGGGGGGTCGTCACTTAGGATTCTCTCAATCTCTTTGGAGGGATGGGTTGCTAAGACAACA